AGTACGGCCATAAGCTACATACAAATTAAGGATAATCACAGATTTCTAAGAAATTTTCGAAAGCTCTTGAAAAGGCAAATAAAATTAAAAATAATTCCAAATGTCAATTTCAAAACTTATTGGTATTATTAAGAATTCTTTAATTTAATTGTCATTTCATTCATTACCATACAAACGCCTTAAGCATGTTTACAATTAATTTGCATTCATTAAACGTAGATTTTTACAGTGTCAGTCAAAAGTTTTTAACAACAATAAATATTTCCAGCAAAAACTTTTATTATATAGTAGGGGTATAAAACTCTTAAATTTGCTTTCATTTTAGGATTTTACATCCTTATTTTAAGACGGGGTTGTCATTGAACTTGAAACAGCCGCTTACAAGTAATCACTAAAATAGTCAATTTATATCGTTCAGCCATCGAATGATACAACGTATTTTTTATTTCGTGTTTTTATTTTAGTGTATTTTTTTAATATAGTTAGCAGTAAAATATTTCTAGTTGAATAATTTTGTTTGCCACTGTTTTTCCTAATTAAATAATACTCAATGTGAGCGTGCTAGCGTGTGTTGGCAAACAGCTGATTTCTCTGCTAATTTGTGAAAATTAATATTTAACTAAAAATCAATATATTGAGTAAAATTGAGTTTTTGAGAGTAAGCAAATAAACAAACAAAATCAGCATATAAAGAGAATGAAGGAGAATGTAAAATGTGAGTGAGTGTTTATGTTAATGATAGAAAACAAAACAAAAGTAATTATAAGTAAAATAATGTTTTCTTTTTTTAAACAGCTGTGAAAGAGAACATAAATAGAACAAGAAATACTAATTACACGATATGACAAAATTACAAAGTTACTTGCATCAGGGATGGAAAATCTATAGTCTAGTCTAAAGTTTAGTCTATAGTTTAGTCTATAGTTTAGTCTATAGTTTAGTCTATAGTCAAGTCTATAGACTAGTCTATAGACTAGTCTATAGTCTAGTCTATAGTGTAGTCTATAGTCTAGTCTATAGTCTAGTCTATAGTCTAGTCTATGGTCTAGTCTATAGTTTAGTCTATAGTTTAGTCTATAGTCAAGTCTATAGACTAGTCTATAGACTAGTCTATAGTCTAGTCTATAGTGTAGTCTATAGTCTAGTCTATAGTCTAGTCTATGGTCTAGTTTATAGTCTAGTCTAAAGTTTAGTCTATAGTTTAGTCTATAGTTTAGTCTATAGTCAAGTCTATAGACTAGTCTATAGACTAGTCTATAGACTAGTCTATAGTCTAGTCTATAGTGTAGTCTATAGTCTAGTCTATGGTCTAGTTTATAGTCTAGTCTATAGTCTAGTCTATAGTCTAGTCTATAGTGTAGTCTATAGTGTAGTCTATAGTCTAGTCTATAGTCTAGTCTATAGTCTAGTCTATAGTCTAGTCTAGTCTATAGTCTAGTCTATAGTCTAGTCTATAGTCTAGTCTATAGTCTAGTCTATAGTCTAGTCTATAGTCTAGTCTATAGTCTAGTCTATAGTCTAGTCTATAGTCTAGTCTATAGTCTAGTCTATAGTCTAGTCTATAGTCTAGTCTATAGTCTAGTCTATAGTCTAGTCTATAGTCTAGTCTATAGTCTAGTCTATAGTCTAGTCTATAGTCTAGTCTATAGTCTAGTCTATAGTCTAGTCTATAGTCTAGTCTATAGTCTAGTCTATAGTCTAGTCTATAGTCTAGTCTATAGTCTAGTCTATAGTCTAGTCTATAGTCTAGTCTATAGTCTAGTCTATAGTCTAGTCTATAGTCTAGTCTATAGTCTAGTCTATAGTCTACTATAGTCTAGTCTATAGTCTAGTCTATAGTCTAGTCTATAGTCTAGTCTATAGTCTAGTCTATTAGTCTAGTCTATTAGTCTAGTCTATAGTCTAGTCTATAGTCTAGTCTATAGTCTAGTCTATAGTCTAAGTCTATAGTCTAGTCTAATATCTAGTCTATAGTCTAGTCTATGTCTAGTCTATAGTCTAGTCTATAGTCTAGTCTATAGTCTAGTCTATAGTCTAAGTCTATAGTCTAGTCTATAGTCTAGTCTATAGTCAGTCTATAGTCTAGTCTATAGTCTAGTCTTAGTCTAGTCTATAGTCTAGTCTATAGTCTAGTCTATAGTCTAGTCTATAGTCTAGTCTATAGTCTAGTCTATAGTCTAGTCTATAGTCTAGTCTATAGTCTAGTCTATAGTCTAGTCTATAGTCTAGTCTATAGTCTAGTCTATAGTCTAGTCTATAGTCTAGTCTATAGTCTAGTCTATAGTCTAGTCTATAGTCTAAGTCTATAGTCTAGTCTATAGTCTAGGTCCTATAGTCTAGTCTATTAGTCTAGTCTATAGTCTAGTCTATAGTCTAGTCTATAGTCTAGTCTAGTCTAGTCTATAGTCTAGTCTATAGTCTAGTCTATAGTCTAGTCCTATAGTCTAGTCTATAGTCTAGTCTATAGTCTAGTCTATAGTCTAGTCTATATCCCACCGTCTAGCTTAGTATGTACTTTAAAAACTAAAAAAGCACTATTTTTGTTATAAGTTAGTACTATTTTAAAATTTCAATTTTCCATCCCTGACTTACATACATTTTAATTAGATTTCTTGAGTTTTTCTTACTCATATTGAATATTTTGATAAATTTCAATTCTATTAGAGCAAATTTTTTTTGTAAATTGAGTGTTTGTTTGAAATTGTTGCTATTGTTTCTATACATTTAAACAACTGTATTAACAAGTGTGAGAATGTGTAGGAGATATACTTTAGTTTTGTTTTTGCTTTCATTGAAGAAAAAAAAATAACAAAATAAAGAATAGAAAAGAGTGTATTCGTTGTTGTATGACGATGGTCGTTTGATTGGTTGGGTTGGTTAGGTTGTTTGATGGTTAGTTACTACAATATTCTATTCAGTTCTATTAAACGCGTTGAAGGAACCTAACAACAGGTGGTTGCTTAAATTAGTTGTTTAAAGGTTTCCTTTAGTTTTTGTTAACAAATAAAAAACATTTTTGCGTAAGAATTTTTAATGTAAAAAAAATTAATTTAAAAAAAAGTGTGTAAAAGTGAGTGGAAATTAAATAAAAAAAAGATTAAAAATTTCAACAATTTTACTAAAGCAAAAAAAAATATTAGTGTTTTAATTAAATAAAAAATCATCAGCTGTTTTAGTAGTGTAAATTTAAAAGAAAAAGGTTCAGTGAGTGCTTTTACAATTTAATCATTGACATTGATTTGTTGTAATATGGTTAAAAGAATATTGCGTTGATTTTTTTCTTTTTCACTACAGTGTTGCCAGAAATTAAAAGTTTGTGTTGCCTTTATTATTATATAAATCCCAAGAAATCGCATTAAATTTCTTTAAAAAATTACTTATTTTAAAGAAAAAAATTATAATTATTTTAAATTTTTAGTTACATATGTCACTTTTACGGTATTACATTGTGTATGTGTCCATGGGCCACTCCTTTATTGGTGTCCCAAAAGAACAAATTATCTACATTCTTTACATGCTAGACGTGCACGTTTTATTTAATTGTTAAAACATTTATTGTTTTTAATTTGCATATCACCCGTATATCCTTCAAACATACCTAGTAATAGAAGATTTTTTATAATTATAATTATTCTAAATGGATATTTAATAGTTCTGTGTTTGCTTTTGAAAATTTTAATAATTTTTGTAATAAATTGCTGTTTACATTGTTTGAACCAAATAGAATATATTAGTCCAGGAAAGTAAGGGGTTTGTAGTAAAATTACGAATATATCGCTTATGCTGATGTCTACGACTTTGGACTGCAATTCTATAAACAATTAAATATCATACATTTTAGTTGAATACTATATTTCGCTTAGCGTATATTTAATTAATTAAGTTAATTGGGTTATTTTTCGGAGAAATAACATTGTCAACGTGTGAGCAATTAACTGATTGTCATATATCCGAGGTATTGAACACGATCAACAAAAGTAACCATTCTATAGTGGTCCACATTTAGCAAACTGCTAATAATTTTTGTTAAAGCAATAAGAAGAACCGGTATATCTTCATTTCTTAAAATACATTTACAAAACATGTAATAATGATTATTATCTTACAACACTTATTATTAATAAGTGGCAAAGATGTACGTCAATTATAATGTCTAATTTAATTGTAAAATTCGTCATATCTTTTTTAACTATAAAAAGTTTAGGACTTATTTATTAGACTCGAAATATAATCCTACGAAGAAGTCAATCGTCACCCCATAGGTTACGAAGATATAGACAAAAGGCTAAAGTTTGTTTTTTAAGTGTCCACTCTCTCTCTTACAAAGGGAACACTAAAGTTCGGATTTTCTTCACCCTCGTTTAAAAAAAGTATCTACTTCCGTGACGAAAGACGAATTAGAGCCAACCAGGTGGTTAGACGTTAGTGGAAATTACTGTATTTTTCGGATGTATTGACTCTTTGTCGAACTGCTGGGAGGATTTAGAAAAACATTTTGAATCTTTAAGTACATATACGAAAGCTATTTTAGAAAAGTTTGTCGATCTATGACCTGGTTGAAAAAGGGATTTCAAGACCTCAGACTCATGTCTAGTTACAATATAAGCAATTTTGCAAAATCCAAAGGCGAATGCATCACCTTTGCTAATAAAACTAGATAAAAAGTCCTCGAAACCAAAATGTTCCTATACCCACCCCCTTTTAATCTGGCATCACTGAATGTGTTGATTTAACAACAACAAAAACAAGTACTAAAAGCAAGTACTTTACTCAGTAATTTTTTTTCCTGTGTTTTCAATTTCACTCAGTACATTTTACTGTTTTTCTGTAATTACACTCACTAAGAAGACATTGTTGTGCTCTCGTTTGGGGTCTGCTTTGTTTTTATTTTTCTGTATGTTCTTCATATATACTCTCATGGATTTTAAATGGATGAGCATTATTTTTGTTGTTGATTGTATATATGTATGTGTGTATGATTTTTTAACGTTTGTGGATAGTGCGGATCGCATCAGCTGGTTGTTTGCCTGGTTAACTAACTGGAAGTGCCAGTCTTATTTGGAAACCAGACGGACGACGCACAACTCGCAATTTGTCACACATTAAACAACAAAAAAAAGTACTAAACAAACATAAGTAGAACAAAAAAATAACATAAAAGAAACATTCGCAAGTGATTTTTTTTGTTAACATTAAGACGTAGTGAATAAAACATATTCCAAAAATATCAGAAAGAGATCTGAAGAAGAGTAAAACAAAGTGTTAATAAAAATTCCAATTGAAATAAAACACAGAACAAGAACTAGCACTATTGGAATAAAAATTAAAGTCTTTGTTCTAAAAGAAAAAAACACAAGAACAAAAACAAATTTGTTACAAAAAAATAACAATACATACCTATTAATTTTAAAAATAATTCCTATTAAATTCAAGTAAAAAAACGTTTTAATTTGGAATGGAATTTTTAAGTAGAGAACCACTAATCGTAAAAAACACTACCACAATAGCTGATGAAATTTCCCTACTGAACTTCAAGATCGGTAACAATTTATAGCGGTGTTTGAATTTCAAATATAAAAGCAAATATTGAAAAAGTGACATCATTATTATCAACGACAGAACAACGCTCTCCATAAATTCGTTACATTTAACCGGAAAATTTTGCAAAAGTAGAATTTTTTTGTTTGAACCGCTGTTTTAATTTATTTAATTTGTTTAAGGAAATCCAAGGCCAGCTTTTGTTAATACGCCCCAATAATATATAATTTACACTCTCACTCATACAACGGAAGTGAAAAGTGAAATATCAGCAACAAAAACAAAAATATACAACAAATTGACAAACATTGACCGAGCGATCGAACGCCTTAACTCGAACAAATTGTTAAAAATTTATTGCTAAAATCCAATAAAAATGTTTAAAAAGTGAACATAAATTAAAATAAATTATAAAAATATTTAAAGAAAGTGAATTTGTTTATTTTCGTTTTCCTGTTGCAACAAAGTATTTTTTATTACCACCAAAGTTAATTTTTACGTGCCAAATTATTACCATCAATAATAACAAATAAATCCTCAATATGAAACCTCAACCGAAAAAAGTTGCTCCCGATGGCGGCTGGGGATGGGTGGCTTGTTTTGGTGTCAGTTTAGTCAATGTAAGTGCACTTCTTTATTTTATTTATAAATTTTTTCTGTTATTTTATTCATTGTTAATTGTTCTATTTTGATTTGAAAACGATTATAAGGGTTCTCATTGTGTACATGTTTTTATGTAAAGTTGTTGGTGTAAAAATATTAGGGAGTTACAAATAATAAAATATTTATAAAATATTTCAGTTCTAGTTCAGTTCTAGTTCAGTTCTAGTTCAGTTCTAGTTCTAGTTCAGTTCTAGCTCAGTTCTAGTTCCGTTCTAGTTCAGTTCTAGTTCAGTTCTAGTTCAGATCTAGTTCAGTTCTAGTTCAGATCTAGTTCAGTTCTTGTTCAGTTCTAGTTCCGTTCTAGTTCAGTTCTAGTTCAGTTCTAGTTCTAGTTCAGTTCTAGTTCAGTTCTAGTTTAGTTCTAGTTCAGTTCTAGTTCAGTTCTAGTTCAGTTCTAGTTCAGTTCTAGTTCAGTTCTAGTTCAGTTCTAGTTCAGTTCTAGTTCAGTTCTAGTTCAGTTCTAGTTCAGTTCTAGTTCAGTTCTAGTTCAGTTCTAGTTCAGTTCTAGTTCAGTTCTAGTTCAGTTCTAGTTCAGTTCTAGTTCAGTTCTAGTTCAGTTCTAGTTCAGTTCTAGTTCAGTTCTAGTTCAGTTCTAGTTCAGTTCTAGTTCAGTTCTAGTTCAGTTCTAGTTCAGTTCTAGTTCAGTTCTAGTTCAGTTCTAGTTCAGTTCTAGTTCAGTTCTAGTTCAGTTCTAGTTCAGTTCTAGTTCAGTTCTAGTTCAGTTCTAGTTCAGTTCTAGTTCAGTTCTAGTTCAGTTCTAGTTCAGTTCTAGTTCAGTTCTAGTTCAGTTCTAGTTCAGTTCTAGTTCAGTTCTAGTTCAGTTCTAGTTCAGTTCTAGTTCAGTTCTAGTTCAGTTCTACTTCAGTTCTACTTCAGTTCTACTTCAGTTCTAGTTCAGTTCAATTCCGTTCTAGTTCAGTTCTAGTTCAGTTCTAGTTCAGTTCTAGTTCAGTTCTAGTTCAGTTCTAGTTCAGTTCTAGTTCAGTTCTAGTTCAGTTCTAGTTCAGTTCTAGTTCAGTTCTAGTTCAGTTCTAGTTCAGTTCAAGTTCAGTTCTAGTTCAGTTCTAGTTCAGTTCTAGTTCAGTTCTAGTTCAGTTCTAGTTCAGTTCTAGTTCAGTTCTATTTCAGTTCTAGTTCAGTTCTAGTTCAGTCCAAGTTCAGTTCTAGTTCAGTTCTAGATCAGTTCTAGTTCAGTTCTAGTTCGGTTCTAGTTCAGTTCTAGTTCAGTTCTAGTTCAATTCTAGTTCAATTCTAGTTTAATTCTAGTTCAATTCTAGTTCAGTTCTAGTTCAGTTCTAGTTCAGTTCTAGTTCAGTTCTTGTTCAGTTCTTGTTCAGTTCTAGTTCAGTTCTAGTTCAGTTCTAGTTCAGTTCTAGTTCAGTTCTAGTTCAGTTCTAGTTCAGTTCTAGTTCAGTTCTAGTTCAGTTCTAGTTCAGTTCTAGGTCAGTTCTAGTTCAGTTCTAGTTCAGTTCTAGTTCAGTTCTAGTTCAGTTCTAGTTCAGTTCTAGTTCAGTTCTAGTTCAGTCCAAGTTCTAGTTCAGTTCTAGATCAGTTCTAGTTCAGTTCTAGTTCGGTTCTAGTTCAGTTCTAGTTCAGTTCTAGTTCAATTCTAGTTCAATTCTAGTTTAATTCTAGTTCAATTCTAGTTCAGTTCTAGTTCAGTTCTAGTTCTAGTTCAGTTCTAGTTCAGTTCTAGTTCACTTCTAGTTCAGTTCTAGTTCAGTTCTAGTTCTAGTTCAGTTCTAGTTCAGTTCTAGTTCAGTTCTAGTTCAGTTCTAGTTCAGTATCGATTTTTATAGCTCTACCCATATCCCAGATTTATGTAAACAAAACAGTTTTAATAAATTTAATGGAAAATTCCATTAAAAAATGGGGATGCAAATGTTATAAATTAAACAATCAAAAGTCAGCTGGTACATAAATTTATGTTTATGGATCGATTAAGCAGAAATAAGGGTTGCAACAAAATCATAAAAATACATAAATAAAAACAAACAAAATACATAAAAATAAAAACAAATTAATTCTACCACATTTCACAAAAAAACAAAAAAAAAACACATTCCTCCGCATAAACCAATAACAAACTTAAATTGAAACCAACTCAACATGAACGCCTTAATAATTTCCTTTTTTAGGCTTAAATTCAAGTAATTTTTTTTATACAATTACTCTATTGCTGTTGTTATTGTTTTCGATCATGCTCTAAAAACGTGATACCATTCCTTCTCTCTGTCGCTCGGTTTCTTTACACAATCATATTGTTGTATATTATTGAAATGAAAACAATTTGTTGTATATAAAAATTTCCACTTTATGTTTTGCTTTCATCATTTATCCAAACTTCTTTTTTTTTAGATACTCTCTTTGTTTCTATAGATTTTTATTATATTCCTTAAAAAGAACAACAAAAGAAATTGTTAACAAGTCACAAAAAAAATACAAAGATAAATATAAAATGTAAAAAAAAACTTGTATTGAAAAAAAAAAAACAACTACAAAAAACATAAAATGATCATCACAAAAATAAAAGAGCATAAAAAAAGTAAACACGCAAAAATACTGCTTGCTCCCTGCCAATCACTCAGGCTCTGGCCCTGTCTTGCCATCTATACAAAAATCAACACTTTTTTTTCTCAAAAACTACATCACACACAAATGACACCCATGCAAAATAAAAATGCATTTATTTATTGTTTTGGTACAAAATTCGTATTTCCACCAAGATATAATAATAAAATTTTAAAAATCCAATGCGCATTTGTTTATGTTTTGTTTTCTTTTAGTTTGAAACAAAAAACTGGTTTTGTGGCAATGGAAATTTTTTGGTGAATCAGGGGGATATACACACATATAATTATTATGGGTTTCTTGAAAATGAATTTGATTACCAAATTTTATCAGTTGTTATGAAAACTATACATTAATGCAATGAAAACTAAACCCCATATTCATAAGGGTAATAATCGTTTATTTTTGGTTTATTAAACTCATTTTGCATGCAAAATTCCCACAATAAATCATTAATAACTTTATTAAGCATTTATGAATACGATCAAGTTATACGCAAATTCTGATAATCTTATCTCCCAAAATATTTTATTTTATTGCTTCCAATAAGTCCCCACTAGATTTTGATGGAAAAAAGATCCAAATTATTTAATTTGATCATTTCGAACTACAATTTCATTGCATAAAATGCTCCTCAATTTATAACTGTAGAATAACCCAAAAAAAAATCACCATCTGCTGCAGGACTCGTGAAAGGAGGTTTTTTAGATTCTGAAATATTTCTATTCTATCCGAAATTTTGGGATTATAAAATTTGTCAAATCAGTCGAACAAAAACATATTAAATATAAAACAAGCGAAACGCAATATGCACTTCCAAAAGAATTAGTACATGTGTCACCACTACAGAAAGAGGCTATTTATGGAGGCTGAGGTCAAATACGGACTGAGCCATATAAGAGTTAGTTATGACAAATTTCATCGTTATAAAATTGTGTATGAGTAAATTAACGACATTCCAGCCATTTTCTTAGAGGGACTTTGTTTTGGGGGCTAGCGTCAAAGGTGGCCTGATCATCACTTAAATCAGCAGTGTCATTTAGGCTTATACAAAATATAGTTGTAACGATTTTTGTGGTTATAATAGTATATTTGGCATTATGAGTTCCAAGGTCCATTTGGGAGTTCGGTTGTATGGACCGATATCTACCGTAATATATAAAGTTCGGTCCTTGGGCCAAGGGTAATACTTTTACCAACATATCTTTAAAATTGCTTAAAAATCGACTTAAAAAAAAGTCGATAACTCCACTATCGTCTATGAAAAAAGTCGACTTTGTAAATAAAAGTCAAAAAAAGTCGGAAAGTCGAAAAAAATCGATAAGTCGAAAAAAGTCGGAAAAAGTCAAAAATAGTCGAAAATTTGAAAAAAGTGGAAAAAAGTCAAAAACTCTAAAATAGTCGGAAAAAGTCGAAAAGTCGAAAAAAGTCGAAAAGTCGAAAAGTCGACTATTTATAAAATACTAAAAGTCGAAAAGTCGACTTTTAATTAAACTTTTCATAAAATGCAAAAAGTCGACTTTTAATTGAATGCAAAATGTCGAAAAGTCGACTTTTCGTTTCAACTATAGAACCCTAGTAATGCATAGAATGATTACGTGGTCCTCACCTGGGACATCACAATATATTTTTATCATATATTTGGATTAGTTTTGGATCAGTCCTAGTCCTTTGAGGAGTACACGCGTGTGCAGAGTAAACTTATTTTTAGCAAGGCAATCAATTAATTATACCCTACATCACCATAGTGCGTGTATACCGATTGATTCAGAATCTCTTTCTAATGAAAGTTTTGTGAAAATTGTACAAATCGGTCCGTTAGTAATTAATAAAGTTTGTTCTTAGCTTGAAGGTTATACTTGTACCAACTTTTCTTTAAAATTGCAACCTTTAGTTTTATTACTGATTCTGAAGCATAAAGAAAACTATTAGGGACTTAGTCTATCCATCAGGGTTTTACATAGGACCATGTTGCGGATCATGTACTTAGCAAGGGAATAGTTTTGGCATTACTCTGATGTAATGCATAGATGGATTACTTGGTCCTTACCTAGGCCATCACAATTATTTTTATCATATATTTGGATTAGTTTTGGATCAGTCCTAGTCCTTTGAGGAGTACTCTTTACACGCGTGTGCAGAGTAAACTCAATTTTTGCAGGGCAATCAATCTTCATTAATTATACCCTACACCACTATAGTGGATGTATACCGATCGATTCAGAATCACTTTCTAATGAAAGTCCTGAGAAAATTGTGCAAATCGGTTCATTATTTTACTTAGCTATCATACAACCAGAAATTTCGATTTGGACTTTTCAGTTCATAACTACATATGTATGTCAAACATACTAGATCGACACTTCCGATTTTTATATATATTTCT